CAAAACGTTTCTTTGTTCGTGAACGGCTCGTGTTCGGCTCGCTAAGCAAATGAGCCGAACACTCGCTCGTGTTCGGCTCGTTTACACCCCTAATTACGAGGCATATAAAGTTAAATTTTCCTTTAATGATTGATTAATTATGTGTAACCCTTTCCTCCTACTAAATTTAATAGCCATAAAAGCTATTTCCATCATACGTGCGATACAAATATTTAAATCTAATTCTTAAGCATTGTTTTTTTTTTTTTTTAACATTTATACCACCCAAATTTTTCATATCACATAAAACATTCACTATTTTAACCTTTAAAAAGTGACATACATGGATAAGGTGGCAAATGTAAAAACTATTGTTTGGTGTCAGATATGTAAATACCTAAGAATTGAGTGGAATTTATACAAATCTTGCTGAGATAAATTCAATAATTTTAAGACACATCCCCACATAATATTTCTTTCAAATTATACTCTGGACCCAAACCTTAAATTTCACATATTAATTAATAAAAAAATGCCACAACCCTTTTGTTAAGAGGCTTTAGCATTGATTAAATCCAGTTTTAAGGCATTGATCCCAGCTTGAGAGCCAATTTTATCTTCGGCTTAAACTTATTAATGCAGTCAAAAGTAAATCCATCCCTTATCTTTACCTATAAAACATTTTTAGCAGAAGCATTAATGCCTAATAAGCACGCAATCCAATGTATATTTGAACAATTTAAGAAATAGATAGTATACAATAAAATGTCAAAATAACTCCAAACTATTTTCATCCGGCCATTTTAATTCTAGCGTTTAATTAATTCCAAGTTTTTTTTAATGGGAGCTAATATAAAGAGAAAATTTGGGGCCAAATTGATATTTTTATAAGCCCATGCATCAAAATGATAATTCTTCAAAGGGTTAGGGGCCATTTTGATAAGTTTCTGTAAATTACCTGCTTGTGATTCGGCAACGGATCTGAGAGCGAGCGAGGAGGCTGGGAACGGGTTGGGACGACGCGGTTGATGACGCAGCTTTCATAGCGCTGTGAAAGATGGCTGATTTTGTCCTTTTCAGACATCAATTTCTTCATAGAAGACGAGCGCTTCATCTCCTTCCTGCTTCTGTATCTGAAAGTCCCCTTGAACTCCTTTATAGGCATGCAGACCATTTTATTTCCCATTGGAAACAAAATGAGATTTTTATGGCGGAGTTTAGAGAGAATGAATGATTTGGGGGGAAAAAATTATGTGATTTGGAAGAAGGAAGGCAATTTGTTGTCGTTCAAAATAGTAATAATAAAAGAAAAACAGTTTTGATGCTGAGTTAATAGGGTTATTATGAAAAAGCAGATTGTTGAAAGAAATTTGGAGAGGAAAAGTTCTCAGAACTTGGTGATAAACAGAAAGCAAAGTTGGCTTGAACAAAATATATATGATTTGTGAAATAAATCTAGGGGAGAGAGAGAGAGAAGAAGAAGAAGGAGAAGAAGAAGAAGAAGAAGGTACTGGGAGTTGTGTCTCGCCACAATTCGACAGCTATATGGAGATCTTGGATTCTTCTATAGATTTTAAACTTTCGAGGGAAAAAAATAAATGAAGTGTTGGTAAGGGAAGCTCATTGATGGAGTCACGTAGCAGTTAGCACAGGGAATTGGGGAAGAAAGCTTGCATCGAAGAGGAAAGGCGTTGTGGCCAAATGACAATTTTAGAATATGGATTAATCTTGAGGATTAAAGTCAATGACGCTTTGTCGAATGATGGATGATGAGAATGTTTAAAGGTCAAGAGACATCAAAAAGTCTAACTCTATCCTTCTCTTTATAATATTGGAGACGGTGATCAAATAGATTGATTTTCTGCATTAATAATTAGCATATTACATACAATGACACAATCAACTATGAATGCAAGATGGTAGAAAATGGTTGATGTTCTGTTAGTTTATTCTATTTATAGGAGGAAAGCCTAATAACAAACAAACATGACATTGACTGCTAGATGATCAGTGTCATTGTTTTGGTTCTTTCAAATTCAGAGTAGCTAGCTTGTCTAATTATCATCTTATAATTTTTTTTTCCAAATAGTCATCTTTCTTGAACCATTGAGAAGATTCAAAGAAAGAAGTTAACTCAAAAAGGGAGAAAAAAAGATAAAACCGGATAAACAAATTAAGTTTAAAAGAATATTGAGAACTTAGGTAGGTTATACTCACACGATAAGTCAAGAGTGTATTTCCAAAAACAATATCAGATTAAAACACCTTGAAACGCAGATTGATGAAGAAGTACCCTACATAAGCAACCCATATAACCAGAAAACCAATATTATATTTTCTTCTAGATCAAGAGCAACTCCCAAAGCAAAATGTTCGTTTGGTTAAATTCAAAATGAGAAATACCCAAGAAAACTCCCAATAATAGTATCTCTTCTTAAAATTTTATGATAATTAGGTAAATAGGTATATTAAAGGACTATAGTTATTCGACTAAGAACATCTCGATGCTACAAAAGCCTACATTGAGCCGCCAGCGAAGAGGGTTAATCCCTCACATCTTGAAGGTCAAGGGGGTCTGGTTGGCAAACAAGGCCTAAGAAATAATCGGGTCATCTCAAACATAAACGTCCCTATGCTTCAAAACCTACATATATTGAGTCCTAAGAGTAGAGGATGAATGATTGTATACCAAATGGGTGACAACCTATTAACAATCTAGGCCTATGAGACAACAATGTTGTATAAAATGATTGATTGGGCTCAAAGGGTTTTATCATAAAATAAAGGCAAGGAAATCTTAATTGGGTAGAGATAGTCAGGTCAGAACTCCATGTATTTGTCATCTTAAGCTATTGAAACCTTAGGTCTAAGGTAGTCGATCCAACCCGACCTGCAAGAACCCATGTGTTGTGTTGTCCAAGGAATCCAGGTAGCCCGAAAGTCAAAGGAAAGAAAAGTCTAAAGCCCCATGAACCTATATAGGTAGAATCTATAGAAGTGGGATTTTCCACCTTTTGCTCTTTAAGTCAATCTTTTGTACTTATAACCAAAAAAACACAAAATACCTTCCATTAAAATGCAATATCCTTAAAAAATGAGTATAAAATGTATATATAAAAGTAGCATATTTTATGGTGCGTTATAAGCTAAGAAAAATTATTATTCCTGATTGTCAATTTTATTAGAATCACTAAGATAAATCTAATTTGCATTTGACCGATTCAGGGAAGACATTCCTTCACTTGTTCAACCTCAAAACTAGTTTCAAGGTTAACTTTGTGTAAAATTTTGGATTAAGAAATTTAAAATCACAAGATTTAGAACTTCAGGCTAGACTAATAACCAATAAACTAGAATTTTATCCAACTTAGGGAGTTCAGTCATTTCTCATGAGATCGATACATAGGGTATGTTTGGGGCAGCTGCAGCTGCGCTGCCCCCGGAAGCCGCCGCCAGGAAGGTAAAATTGTTTAAAAGAAGACTGTAAGGGTCAGGTTTCTGAAATTTCAGACGTTGAAATTCATTTCTAAACAAAACAAAATATTCAGATACACCACTCACTTAACATTGAGCCCCAAAAAACATAAACATGAGACTTTTAAGGCTAAACTTTAATTACAAAAAAGTTCAAAATTACAAGTACACATCTCACGTCACAGTGACGTTCAAGAGAGCAAAAATGAAGTCTAAAATAATTACAATCACAACTAATATAAATGATTATATTATTTTTAACATTGAGACTGTGTAACTCTCGTGTTAGACTATGCTCGAGTGATGCTCTCCATTCCTGATCATTGTTGTCAGGGGAATCCGCTGAACCATCTGCCCAACGGAAGAAGCGACACTGTTCTGGGTTGTTCCGTGGGCAGCTATAGAACTTTCTCTCGTAGCTGTGTGGTTGTCAATGCCTCCATTACGTTTGCCATCATTTTTAGCCAATGAAATAAACCACCTAACAATAATAGATAATGAAACAAGTAGTGATAAACGAAAATAAATTCATTTTGTTAATTCCTCCATTAGCAATCCTCATAATGTTAATTCCTCCACCATCACATTAATCATAAAGATAAAACACGACATTAAAATTTCACTATTCCAATATACACATTAAAAGCATTTTTTTGGATTACTACCACCTTTAACAATAGTATCAACATTAAAAATAACATTAAGGGAAATTCCTCCATTATTCTAACAATAGTGTCGGCATTAACAACATACCTGAAGGCCAACTTAATAGAGCAACCACAGACATAAAAATAAATTCCAGATCCATATGTACCACAGATTTAAAAGTAAACTCCAGATCTATGTACAAGCATGAACTAAATACCCGAAGGCCAGCTTCACAGAGCAACCACAAATAAAAGAAAATTCTATTGCAGCTAGAGGAATGTTCAAAAATGCGCAAAAACTACTTTTTTCAAATCTAACTGGAAGCATAACCCCAAAAAGAATAACGTCTACCCACCACCAAATCTAATAGGAGAGCTAAAATAGGGCCACGTGGTGATCTTTTTCCTGATTGACCAGCTAGCATAACCTCATAAGGCACTCCAAATTAACCCAACAATAGATCTAACCTTTGCGATAAAATGAAATTCCATATCTAAGGAAACCCTTATCAGAATAGGAACGAAGATGAGAAATAGATTTCTCACCCTTGCTGTGAGTAGATCACGAGAACAGGATGAGAGGAAGAGAGGAAGAGAAAGGAAGATGTAAGAAAAAGACACTGGCCGAAGAAGAGGAGGGGAAGCGACGAAGCTCGCGGCTTCTCTCCAATCTCGCTTGATAGGACAAAGTGGCAAGGGGGTAAGAAATGCATTTGTAAAGTCGGTTTGTGCCTATTATTTGGCTTCTCGGCTTTCGCTCGGTACCGCGAAAAGCAGTGGCAGGCCTGCCGAAACAAACGTGAAAAAAAAATGTGGGGCGGCACCGCGCTGCAGTGTCGCCGCCCGCCCAAACAGGCTCATAAACTCAACTTTGTATGCTTCTTGGTTGGTACATATACTTACGTGTATCATTGGTCCTTCATAGTATTTCAGTCGTATCAATGGCCAACAGACATTATGCCAGCAATACGTATAATTTTGCTCATCATCAGTGTTTCATAGCATTTTGGTGGTGTCAATGGTCTACAGACGTTATTGTAGCTCACCACTATGGTCTAGATAACCAACTATGGCCTAAGTTTTTTCTAACTCATGCGGTTCTCAACTCTGGCTTGTATGACATACAAACACTATCACAGCTCATCATTAACGCCTATATGACCAACTACGATCGTCGTGGTCCACATATCATGCAGCTCCTAACTCTAGTCTATATGGCCTATGGATTTTATTATAACTTATCAGCATGGTCTACACAACCAACTATGACCTATGAGGTCCACAGCTCACGCAACTCCCAGCTCTAGCATCTATGGCCTACATATGTTATTGCAGCTCACAACTATGACCTACGTGACTAACTATGGCTTATGTGAACCATATCTCTTGCAGCTCCCAACTCTAGCATGTATGACCTATGGAGATTATTGCAACTCGCTATTATGTCATACACAACCAACTATGACCTACATAATTTACAACTCATGCAGCTCTCAACTTCAGCTTCCGTGGCATGGGGACATTATCACAGCTTCCATTATGGCATATGCGGCCAACTTCGTCCTACTTGATCTGTAGCTCATACAACTCCCAACTCTTGCATCTATGGCCTACAGACGTTATTGCAACTCATTATTACAACTTACATGACAAACTATAGCCTACGTAGTCCAACACACGCAGCTCTGAACTCCAACCTTTACAACCTATGGATATTATCTTAGCTCACCATTACGACCCATTTGACCAACTACAACCTATATGGTTCACATCTCACGCAGTTCCCATCTCCAGTCACTGAGTCCTATGGATGTTTTCTCAACTCACAATTACAGCTTATTTGACCAACTACATGTCCACAGCTCATGCAGCTCCCAACTCCGACCCTTGTGGCCTACGACAGTTATTGCAGCTCACCGCTACGACTAATGTGGCAAACTACGGTCTATGTGACTCGTAGCAACTACAACTCCCTATTACGAACTCTGTGGCAAACCAAAGCTTTAAAGAAAACATCTATGGTCTACATGGCCAACTACTATCACAATTTTCAACTACAACCTCTATGTCAAGGTAGCGCTACAACCACTGTCAAACATTCAGGGAGGTTATTGCCTTCATAGCAATCAAATACATTCTTTGTGGTCTGTTACAACTATTATTATTGAACTACCATTGTAAATCAACATTGTAATTCCATCTTATCTAATTCAAGAGAAGAGTTAGCCTATGTAGTTACAATTACATAGTGTATTATTTCAAGTTGGGGCCTTCATGATATTTTTTTTCTTTTCGAGCATTTTTCATGTGAAAAATTGAGACGTCTCCTCCCAGTTGCTTCTATTTTATCTATGTGTTGAATCTTTATTCATTGCTGAGATGCTAAATTATTACTCTGCCCCCTCGAATCTTCCAATGGGCAACAACCTTAAAGCAATTGTTTGAGGGATAAAATGAGTGAAGACAAAAATTATTTTGGCTATTTAACTTGCAAAATAGATCATGTTCGATTTGCTAATTAGATCAAAAAATAATTAAATTATTTTAATAGGTGCTCCTTTTAATATTTATATCTTTCTAAAAAAAATTCTCTAGATAGGGAAGTCCAAAAAATTTACCATTCACCAAGAGCTCGTGTTTGGCTCGCTAAGTAGATTGTATTTGATTTGTTCGTTAAGC